ATCAACTCGGTGACCTCTCCCCCTATCGTTCTCCCGCGTTTCCTTCGGCCCATCGATCATTAATTAAACCGTTCTCTTCGTCTCTCTCTCTCTCTCACTCTCTTTCGCGCGCGCGCGCGCGGCTCTCTAATCTCAGGCATGAAGTCACCTCCGCATTTGCGAGCCGCGAAGCCTCGCCGGGGCGAAAACGAAAGGCGAGAGACGAAGCGTGTGTGTGCACGTCTCGAAAGCGAAAGCGAAGAAGCGTCCGGAGATCTTGGGGACACACACGGGACCGTGTTTACTCCGTGATCCGGCGCGGAATCGCCCGTAAACAAAGCAAAAAGAAATTCAATTGGCCGACCCTCGCACCAGCCGTGACTTTTTCGTCGGAACTATCTCCTCCGGTTGCTTTATCTCGGCTCCCGTTGCTTTCTCTTCGCTCCGTTCCTCCGTCGTTCGCCGGAAAGAGAGAGAAAGAGAGCGAGAGAGGGAGAGAGAGCGACAGAGTGAGAGAGAGATTTCACTTTTCGGGGGAGCACGCGCGAGAGGTCAGCCGATCGGCTTCTCCTCCGGCGAGCTATCGACGCCGAATTGAACCGACGATGAATCGCCGGTGACTTTTTCGCCCGGACACGCCGCCGTGTTCGATCGCCGCAATCCGCGGAGTCACCGGACGAATTGGAACCGGCGGCCGAGAACCGCGACGCGACCAATTACGAAAGCGTCATCGTCGTCGCCGAAAAGCGACGGTTGTCGCGGGAAGAGAAGAACGTCGAATGTTCCAGGCAAAGCATACGAAACTCAAAGGCCAGCGTTTTATTAACCTTGCCCAATTTATCGAACTCTCGGCGAGACTGTATCGTCGGAGACTGTAAATCGTCTAATAGCCGCGCTACGGCCGCAACGTCGCGCGCCGTCGCTAATAACCCTTCGGCGACGGAGCGACGTTCACGATCGACGAAACGACGAAGTTACTTGGGCGACGCGACTTATTATTACTACTATTTTTGTTATTATTACTTGTGTTATTATATTATTGTTATTACTACTATTATTATTATATTATTATGATTACTACTATTATTATATTATTATTATTGCTACTTTATTATTATAGTATTATTATTACTACTAGTATTATTATATTATTATGATTACTACTATTATTACATTATTATTATTATCACTACTATTATTATTATATTATTGTTATTACTACTAGTATTATTATATTATTTATAATTACTACTGTTATTATATTATTATTATTGCAACTCTTTATTATTATAGTATTATTATATTATTACTACTACCACCACTGTTATTATATTATTATTATTATCACTACTATTATTATTATATTACTGTTATTACTACTAGTATTATTATATTATTTATGATTACTACTAGTATTATTATATTATTATGATTACTACTACTATTATTATATTATTATTATTGCAACTTTATTATTATATTATTATTACCTCTACTATTATTATTATTATTATTATAGTATTATTATATTATTACTACTGCCACCACTATTATATTATTATTATTATCACTACTATTATTATTATATTATTATCATTATCACTACTACTATTATTATAATATTATTATTATTATATTATTATTACTACTACTATTATCATATTATTACGTTATTAATATATATAAAAATTACAATATAAATATCAATACATATAAAAGCGATCCGCGAGGCTCGAAGAATCGCGACACAATATTCCCATATCTGCCGGTTTCACTTTCGACCACCGAACATTTCTGGGAGAAATTGCCGCAATTAAAAGCAACGTGATTCGGTTGAACGTTCAACCGAGTAACCCAGTGCGATGACCGACGGTTCTTCCATTGTTCTTCGTTAATTTAGCGCGCCCATGTCACACAGGCACACGGTGCGATCGCCGAGGGATTAACGTTGGCCACCTCGCATTTATTGCTCGACGGTCATTTCGACGTTTTTCTTTCATTTATTTATCTATCACATCACAGTAAAATTAGCGGAACAAAAACCATGTATAGTTTACCCAAAATCTGGGTAAACTATCAAATTAGGCTAAACCATTAAATCGAGGTACGCGGAGACACGGTGGCTGAACACAGAAGGCTGCGGAAAAATATCAAGGGTGCATCAACCCTTCCACGGTGTTCGCGCGTCGCGTCGCTTTAGAAATCGCGGCACGCGCGTCCGACGGCCGGAAAAACGGCGGAAAAACGACCGTCGCCCCGGCGACGGAACGAACCGCCGGTGAAAAATCGCGACCACGAAGCACCGGGACTATGAAAAAGAAAAAACGGGAGCGCAAGGATCGCCGGCAACAGGTCGCCCCTGGCGAAGAAGCGCGCGCGCGCCCTTTCGCGCGGGGCGAAAGTTCGGCGTTTCGGGGCGTCCGCGGCTGGATCTTGTTTATTTATTTACGGAGAACTTTCTAACGGCCAGTAACCCTATTCTGTAACACAGCCGGCCGCGATCGGGCCGCGGACGTTATCTTATCGGGCGTAATTAATGAAGACAGATGACACCGGGGGTGTTCCGAAGGCGGCGCGCCGCGCCGCGTCGATTCATTCGGCGGAATTACTCAGCCCAATAATTGGACCGAGGGAAAAGTAACCGGCCGCGGTTTATCAATGGAACTTGTGTTCGTCGAGCAGCCCCCGAGCAGCGAATACAGTAATGTCTCTCCAATTGACGCCCGGATTGCGCACAAAACTGGACAATTTTGGGAACAGGAGATACGATTGTTCGAGCCTTGCGGTTTAGTTTTATAGCTATAAATTGTCCACGATTGTAAAAACGAGCTACGAATAATCGCATCTTCTCTTCCCAGATTACGGTAATGTCTCCCTAATTGACGCTCAGATTGTGCACGGAGATGGGCAATTTTGGGAAGAGAAGATACGATTGTTCGAGCCTTGCGGCTCGTTTTTTATAGTCGTTGCAAATTCGTGGCTGTGAAAACAAACCGCAAGCCTCGAATAATCGTATTTGCTCGTCCAAAAATTGTCCATTTTTGTGGTCGATCTGAGCGTCAATTAGAGAGACATTACTTGCGTCAGTAAGGGAGACATTACTGTACAGTAAATAATTCACGCTCAGAGAGTCCATTAAAATAGACAATTTTGGAAAAGGAGATACGATTGTTCGAGCATTGTGGCTCGTTTTTTATGGCTATCGATTGTCAATAACTATAAAAACGAGTCGCAAGGCTCAAACAATCGTATCTCCTCATCCAAAAATTGTCCATTTTTGTGATCGATCTGGGTGTCAATTAGAGAGACATTACTTGCGTCAGTAAGGGAGACGTTACTGTACAGTAAATAATACACGCTCAGAGTGTCCATTAAAATGGACAATTTTGGAAAAGGTGATACGATTGTTCGAGCCTTGTGGCTCGTTTTTTATGGCTATCGATTTTCAACAACTATAAAAACGAGTCGCAAGCCTCGAACAATCGTATCTCCTCTTCTCAAATTATCCATTTTAGTGGACAATCTGTGCGTCAGTAAGGGAGACATTACCGTAACATACCCTGTGCTCGGAAAAACGGGACAACGTCGCCGCGGCGCGTCTATTTCGTAGGAACGGCGAGTAAATTAGGTTTCCTCGCCGGTCTCCCAGATTACGCCGGCTGAAATAAAACTAATTGCGACAGCGCGCTATCTGAGCAGGGCCTACTACGCCGTGGCGAGATAACCGGGGACCGTGGTCGCCAAAAAATTCGACACATCAGCGTGTGCAGCAACCTAATAACGACGGCCTCGAGCGAGCGAGCGGCCCTGACCTCGACCACCCCTGCGACGACGGATCGTGCGAAAACAACAGCTTCACGGTCGGCCGCGGCATCGGCCCACCTGATTTCGACAACGATTCCGCAGGGGGTGAGGGGATGATCGTCGAACTCTCCAGGTCGTGGATTTCTTCGCGAACAGACTCCGGAGAGATTCGAAGAGCGTTCGACGATCCCGGGAACGTGTCAAAGCCGCGGCTTCCGGCGCGCCGTAGCGATTCTTTAATATCGAAACCGCAGGAATTTCATATTGGCGAAGCCGATCGGGTTCGCCCGCGCAATTTTCTTCGGTCGCGGGATCCTCGACGGGCTGTTGTTTCGCGCGGCAAACGGGAAGAAAGGACGCGCGATCGCAAGGGAGAGAAAAAGGGAGCCGCGACCGGCGAAACGCGTCGCGCCGGAATGCAACATGCGAGCGGAAAGTTCCGTGACGATAAACCGTGCACGATAACCGGGGCCCCGCTGATCGTGGATATTCGGTTTACGGTGCTAGAATTAACCTTTTAGACACGACGCGCCACTATAGTGGCTTTCGCGGGTGTCATCTTTCAGAACGACGCACCGCTATAGTGACTTTCGCGGTTGTCATCTCTCTGGACGACGCGCCGCTATAGTGGCTTGCTCTAGTAGCTCACTCGCTCATCGTTTGAACCAAATAATCGTCTTCGTATGCATTGTTTCACACTTCTTTTGTCTTCGCATCGATTTACAACAGTCTTCAGGGTGTCCCAAAAATATCTCGCAATGCGGAAATGGCGGGTTCCTCGGATCATTCGAAGCAACTTTTTCCTTTACAAAAATGTTCTCCGAGGCACCGTTAACGAGTTATCAACGAAAAACAGTGACCAATAAGAATCGAGTACGGCTGACGCGAGGCGGCCCAGCCGACCAGCGCGCGAAGCCCAGTTCCGCTCATTGGCTCGATCGCCTCGCGCCAGCCGAGCTCGCCTCTCATTGGTCACCGTTTTTCGTTAATAACTCGTTAACGGTGCCTCGGAGAACATTTTTGTAAAGGAAAAAGTTGCTTCAAATGGCCCGAAGAACCCGCCACTTTCGGATCGCGAGACATTCTTGGGACACCCTGTATATACAGTATCAGAGATAATGGACTTACCGATGTCACCGCCGCAACCACGCCGCGAAAGGTGTCTAGCTTGAACGGAATCTTTTGAGTTTTGAGGCGACGCGTCGTTGGTTTTCCAGACGGTTTCAAGGGCGACACGGTGCTCTGGTGCAGGATGCTGCTCCCGGGCGTGGAGAAGAAGATCTACAATCTGCAGAGCAAGCAGCTGGTCAAGCTGTTCTCCAGGATACTGCTGCAGGACGAGGACGAGATGCTGGAGCACCTGGCGCAGGGCGACGTCGCCGAGACGATTCGATCGTTCTTCGAGAACAGCGTCGCCTCGAAGCCTGCTGGCAAGAGCGTGCTCACTCTGCAGGAGGTACTAGAGTCATTCTCCATCTTTAAACTAAAATTCTTTACATTTTCGCTACCGAAAACCTACCGGAGAGTCCTCGGAATTTCTCCCGAGCCGCGGCGAAGCTCCATTTTCGGCGTTTCCTTTTTTGGCGAGGCGAACGGAGGCCGCGATCAACGACGCTTTATCCCGCAATTCTTCCGCAACTCCTACGCAATTCTTCCGCAATTCCTACGCGATTCTTGCACCGTCCTCAGCGGACGTCGGCCCGATCTCCTCAGATTTCAGGAGGCATGTCGTTTTCACGAGAAAAGCTCGAGCCGAAGCTCCCGCCTCGAATGAGAATCGATCTCGCCGCGATTAGGTTGCATAGAGTTTCGGCCGCGAGGGGAATTCCACGGGGCTCGCTCGGCTTACTAGGATTTCGGGCCTGGGACGGGCCGGAGAAGAGCCTTCCGCGAAATAACTATGTCCCGAATGGAATAAATCAGCCGGCGATTCGAGCGCATCGATCGCATCTCCCGTAAACGTTTCTGTTGCCAGGTCGACCAGTTCCTCGCGAAGCTGTCTACCTTGACCAAGGAGAACGAGCAGACCCAGCACTTCCGGTCGGTCCTGCCCAGGTAAGATCAGCGGAGTCTTTTAATGAATGACGGCGAAAGCCTTTGTTTCACGATCCCGATGTCCCCAGGTGCACCTCCAACGACTTGAAGACGATCGTCCGGCTGATCAAGCACGACCTGAGGATCAACACCGGCCCGAAGCACATGTGAGTGTCCCTTGAAGGCCCTAGACCTCTGGGGCCCGGTCTGGTCTAGCTAATCGATGCGATTGCAGCTTGGCGGCGGTGCACGGCGACGCGTACGCGGCCTTCCAGACCTCGAACGACCTTGTCAGCGTCGTCGAGCGGTGTCTGGAGTCCACCGCGAGACCCGGTGCACAAGCTGCAACTTCTTCAGGGTCCCCTTCCGGCAGCAGGGTCGCTGCTCTGGCCTTGATGACGCCCGTTCTCCCGATGCTGGTGAGCAATGTTTCCCTTGAACAATGAGAGCGAAGTTTTCTCTTCCCGGTGTGTACAAAGCGTTTCTTGCGAACCGACAGGCGGAAGCTTGCAAGTCCGTGGAGATGGCGATGAAGAAGTGTCCCGACGGCATGCTGTCCGAGGTGAAGTACGACGGGGAGCGCGTCCAGGTGCACAAGAGGGGCACCGAGTTCCGCTACTTCAGCAGGTCGTTGAAGCCCGTGCTGCCTCACAAGGCAAGTCTCTCGTCCCGTTGCACCCTGCTTCGGTGCAACACTCTTTCCTGGGTGCATAGGAGAAGTTCGTTGTTGTAGGATTTTTGCATTGGCGTTGCGATGCACGGAAATTAACGCGCGGTTTTTTGAACTCAATCGGGGTTGTGGGACCCGGATTGAAGCGATCGCGGACGTGTTTTGGTTCCTGTTAAATAATACTCGCCAAATTAACACTTTGCACGCCGTTGTTGTCACTAAAGGACGTCGTAATTCTAGCATTTCACTCGGATGTACCCTCTGAGGGTGATGTTTGTTATATCGGGATGCTTTAAAATTTATCATACTGTAGGAAATTATGGGAAATAAAATGCTGATTTTTGTTTTTGCGAATGCATGTTCCTCGATGTCTACAAATTCATATAAATGAATTATTTTAATATCTTATTTGGTTCTAAAGTATAATATATAATATATGCTATGATATATGTACTATATCATATTTGTATAATATACTATAATATACTTACTATATGATATACTATATTACTATAATATATACTGCAATATATACTATAATTATTATATAATACACTATATATATTTATAATATATTTATATAATAATTTATTATATATTAAATATTATATTATTTATATTATATTAATTAATATAATATATTTTATAATATAAAGGTTCTTGAGTGCACGTTTTTGCGACAAAGTGGTGCCAAGTAGCTGCTAGCTAACGTCCAAGATGGCGCGGGGTGCAAAGGGTTAATTTTGGGCAATTGGATCCGATCGACGGAGCGGTGATCACGCATGAAATTATTATAATCGTCTGTCCTTGATTATTGAAAGAAGGTTGTTCCGAACAATAGACTATTTCCGAATGCATAACAAAATAAGAGAAGCTTGCGACGCCTTCTGATGAGTCATCTCGATTTTTCGGGACCTACCCTTGGCAAGGGTGGGAGCCACAGATGCTTGCCCCGTCTCTCAAGATACGCTAACGATCGTTCCAGGTGAACCTCTTCAAGGAGTACATTCCCAAAGCGTTCCCGGACGGCGACGACCTGATCCTGGACTCGGAGATCCTCGTGATAGACACGAAGACCGGCCAGCCGTTGCCTTTCGGCACCCTGGGCATCCACAAGGTAACGCACTCCTCCGTAAAAGTCTCTCGAACTTCCCTGTCTATCTATTCTACGTCTCCCGCAGAAAACGGAGTTCAAGGACGCGAACGTCTGCCTCTTCGTGTTCGACTGCATCTACTACAACGGCGAGGTCCTGTTGCACAAGTAAGTCCCTCCGATAGCTTCGTCAGAGAACCAGAGAAGCTGACCCCTTTCTCCGTCCGCAGGAGCATGATGGAGCGCAGGCAGATCCTGACGAAGCGGATGACGGTGATACCTAACAGGATCATGCTCTCGGAAGTTCAGGAAGTGCACGTAAATGTATAATAGTTTCGATTCTCTCGTATCGCGCGTGTAACGACTTACGGAGGATTTTAATGATTTTAGGAGCCGCGAGAGCTCGCCCAGATGATCGCCAAGGTCCTCAAGATGGGCCTCGAGGGATTGGTCCTGAAGGATGTTACCGTGAGTATCGCGGGTCGATCAAATTCCCTTTGTCCTTGCTATCAGAGGATAATGTTCGCAGGGCAAGTACGAACCTGGCAAGAGACACTGGCTGAAGGTAAAGAAGGACTACTTGTTCGGGGGTGCGATGGCTGATACCGCAGATCTCGTCGTTCTCGGCGCTTGGTACGGCACTGGAAACAAGGGTTCGTGTCTATCGACCGTCGCTATTTGCTCCAGCACTTTCTTTGGGACCGTTTACCCTTTGTACTTTGCCTTCTTTGCTCCTTGGGCTGGTCCGAGCCTTTGATTGTTTTAGACTCTTGATTCTTGATGCTTCAAATCTGAGGCGATCTTTCAGGCAGTTCTTTAGGGTACTATAATATTAGATGGAACGTGGAAATTAGCTGGAAGGTGTCAGATAGTATTATAAGTCTATTGTTCACTAAATAATATAGGCCTTGGATTTAGGTATAGGGTATTATAATATTAGGTGGAACGTGGAAATTAGCTGGAAGATGTCAGGTAGTACTATAAGTCTATTGTTCACTCTAAATAATATAATAAATTAATAATATAGTAAAATATATAATAAAATAATATAATATATATATTATATTATATATTATTAAATATAAATATAATATATAATATATTATATAATAATATAATATAATAATATAGACCTCTTGGATTTAGATCCTACTAGCTTATAGATCCTTTTCTTATAATAGTATAATAATAATATAATAAAATAGGCCTTGGATTTAGATCCTACTAGCTTAGATCCTTTTCTTTTTCTACAATCTTCCAACTAATCTTCTTTTGTACTACTTGGAGCTTCAGAATATTGTTCAAACAATAGCATAGACCCTAGATCCTAAGTCCTAGAAGCAGCCCTTCTCCTTCACTTTAATTTATAATAATTAAACATAATTAAATTTAATTAAATAATTCAATATAATATAATATAATATAATATAATTAATTAATATACAAACCCCTCCGCAGGTGGAATGAAGTCGGTGTTCCTGATGGGCTGCTACGACGAGGATCACGACCAGTGGCTGACAGTGACCAAAGTGAGGACCTATTGTCTAACGTAGAGTAATTAATTTCACGTCGACCGAACAATATCTCGATGCAGGTACACACGGGCCACGACGACGCAACGCTGGTTCTGCTGCAGGACGAGCTTGACATGATCAAAATCGGCAAAGACCCCGACAAACTGCCTAGCTGGCTGCGAGCGAAAAAGCCGATGATTCCGGACTTCGTGGCGAGGGATCCGAAGGTATCGAGTCTTATCCTAAGAACGAGTGAATGAAGAAGAGCAATGGCTGAGATCGATCGATATCTATTTCTTCAGAAGCAACCGGTGTGGGAGATCACCGGCGCGGAGTTCACGAACCAAGGTGTACACACCGCGGACGGGATCAGCATCAGGTTCCCGAGGGTGACGCGGATCCGCGACGACAAGGACTGGTCCACTGCCACCAATCTGGCCGAGCTTCGGGATCTATTCTCCAAACGATCCGACTCGATAGATCTGAGTCGACTCCTGCCGGCTGATTCCAAGTACCTTTTTTTCCGTTCCATCGTGAAACGCGGCTTTTCAATCGTTAAACCCTTGCTCTACTTTTTCTCACAGTTACTGAGTCGAGAACTGGATAAAGGATAAATATAATCAATATATAAATATTTATAATATATTATATATTTAATAATATTTATTTTATAATATTTAATTATATTATATTATATATATAAATATTTATATTTATATATTTACTGAGAATATCAATACTAAAAATTGTCACAACATCAGAGTCATTTAATGAATGCACAAGGAACTAGGAAGTTACAATTTACCATAAGAAATGTTACTTTTTCTCTTTTCTATTAGAAAAATCCCAGTAAAATTCTGTTCGTTCAATATGTTACAATAAAAATTGTAATCGCATTAGTTATTCTGGTTGGTAATTCTTAGTAGCTTTATTTATATATTTTATGGATACGTTACATGACAGAGGGTTAATATTCTGCTTCGTCCGACGGTAACAATAGAAAACTAAATCGACGGCTATTTTTCCAGGGACGAAGGGGACCAGCCGGACCTCTCCACAACTCCGGAGAAGAAGATCGACGTGATGCCAGCGTCTTCCAGGAAGCGCAAGAGCGACTCGAACAAAGAGCAGAAGGTGCGCAGAAATTCGAACGGTAAAGCAGGCGGCGTGAAAATTAAGGAAGAACCGGTGGATGTGAAAATTAAGATAGAACCGGTGGATGTGAAAATTAAGATAGAACCAGCGGATGTGAAAATTAAGATAGAACCAGCGGATGTGAAAGTTAAGGACGAACCAACGGATGCGAGCATTGAAGAAGAACCAAGGAGCAGTTTCGAGGATGAGCGGCCGGAGTTCTACGCGTTCATAGACAAGGATGTAGGCAACGCTTCGATATTTATTATTTAATTTTTAATCGATGCATCGCTTATTCCATTGAGATTATTTCGCAGTATATAGAGTACTCTGCAGCTGGAATGCCCATGAATTGGATAGACGGTCGAAAACCATTGGACGGTCTCCCAGCAGATGCGAAGCCGTTGTCCAGTCTCTTGGCCGACGAATTGGTAACGCGTTTGTTCGACCATCGAATCATAATTCTATTTCATTTTCTATGAAACGTTAAACCTACAGAGTCAAAGTGACTAGTTTCACATTTTTGTTACAAAATTGCTGAAGCGATAAAGATTCTTTCGCAGGGAATGATCTTAAAGTTCTTAATCCAAGCACATATATATTGTAATAAAAACTATGAATTATCACTCGTTGGTTCAGTGTCCAGTGTTTAATGCTCCAGGCAAACGGTTTTCAGGAGTCGAGAACGATCCTGGGCGCAGCTGCCGTGGTCCTGGCGCCAGGATTCAAGCGGAAGCAGCACAAGCGGGTCCTCAGAATGCTGAAAACGTATCCTTTTGTTCGTCGAGTCCGACCTCGGCTTTTAATTATCTCTCGGACAGATAGGATTATGCTTCTTAAACCAAGGATGGGGAATCGGGTCAGCGTGCGCCTTTTCCCTTCGCTGGAAGATTCAAAGGGGATGATTGGGTCGCTAAACCGGATCTATTTTCCTTAATCCTGATGAATCGCCAGGCTCGGAGCCAGGACGTTGACGGACCAGGAGCGATCGATGGCCACGCACGTGATCCACGTCGGCCCCGAGATCCTCTCGTCGACGATCCATGTGAGTTGCCTAGACGTTCCGACGAGACATAACCTCGAAGCTTCCAGCTTCGAACTGCTTCTTAAAACTATCAGATAATGGGAATACGAGGCTGCGAGCTATTCGAAGACAACACTGATCCTATTCCTGTAACTTTTTAGTCATGATTCGAATTCATAGTTTATGGAAAAACAAGAGTTAGTAAACGAAACAGAGACTGATGATTGCAGTAGTTGGAAAAATGAATACGGGAAAATTATGTCAATTTTAACGTGAAGACAGTACGGCAAACGTTACCTTCTCGTATACAGAGTGTCACAAGAATGTCTCGCAATCTGGAAATTAACGAGTCCTGTTGTCATTTGAAGTAACCTTTTCCTTACCGAAAACGTAATCCGCAGCTTTGTTTACGAGTTATTAGCAAGAACCGGTGACCAATGAGAGACGAGGTTAGTTGGCGCGAGACGGTCGAGCCAATGAGCGGAACCGGGCTCTGATTGGTCAGCGTTTTTCGTCTCGCAAACCCCGTGACTGCAGCGACGAAATCCAAGCAGACGTCTCCGGCGATGAAACAAAATTGTCGCCGCTATTTTGGCAGACGGTGTTCCGTGCGGCGTTAGCGGTCGGCTTTTAAATAGATCGAACGCTACAGGTCCTCGATAACGTGATTAAAGTCACGTTAGCGGCCGCGAGTTAAGCGGCTTCCGGCCGGTGCAACTTGTCAGCTCCGCTGGTCGTACGCGGCAATTAACAACTATCCGGTTCCCGGCGAGCTGTCGATCGCGATTTCCGCTCGTTCCGGCTGCCCCCGCGTGTATCCTAATCTCATCGACACACGTTTTCCAGGAGTTCGAGGGCGTGCCGAGGACGGCCAGACACGTGACCGTCGGCTGGCTGGACGCGTCCGCCTCTGCTTCCCACGTTCAGGACACGGAAGAGCACGCCGTCCAATTGGCGGCGGACTACTGCGACTGTCCCTGCGGGCACCGATGACCGGAAACCATCCACAGAGCTCTGGAAATCACGAACGCTTCCCCGCAGCGAGATCCGTTCTCCCGGAAAAATCGCATCTTCTGACCGGACAATTTTTTTCCCCCCTTTTTCTCGGAGATCGGAATTTTTACATTCTCGGCAGTTTTACATTTTCGACTGTGAAATTGTTAAAATTATCGCGACAGACTGTTTCGTAGGGACGAAAACAAATTGCCGACATGTCTAAGTAAATCGAAGGCGAGTCGGTTTTAGGATTAGCGTCGAGATTCTGTGCACGTTTCGAGAGAAATATGTTTCAAAAGTATTAGACGGATGAAACGTTTTACCCAAATATTTTTATAAAAGCACACGAGAACCCCGTGCCGAGTTTTCGATGCTTGCGACTTCGAATTTTTACTTTTATTCTGTTACTTCACGCTGTCCGTTATCGGACAAAATTATGTTTTTCAAGTGGAACATTTACGCACGAGAAATATCGATTTTATAGTATATATCTGGTGTTTACATAAATAAATACGTGGAACGGAAGTGCTGCTTGTAATCACTCTCTCGATAGATCCTCCTCTGCCATGAACGAGAATCGATTGATATACTTTATCCGAAACCTGTTAACCAGTTAGCCGACGGCGACCTCTTCGGAAAGCGTTCCAAACCCGTTTGGAAGCGTTCACGGTATAGTATACAGTATACAGTATAGTATAGTATACAGTTCTTTTTACGTAATAATTATTTATGTTGTTTCATTTTTTTATTTCGTATCGTATTGGCCTCCAAATATGCGAAGATCCTAACGCTTACCGACCGAGCGTTAATGTTAATGTTCTAATCATTAATTTTTTAATCAGTAATTTGTTATCTATTATTGAGATAAAAGTGTTGGGTTGTACTACTGTAAGCTCTCATATTATCCTACAATTTTTAAAAAATAATATAGTAATAATATATATAATATATAATAACATAATATATTATTATTTAAAAATATTATTAAAAATAAAATTAATATTTTATTAATAATAAATATTGTTCAATGCTACTGTTATGAAAATATAAAAATTTCGTTAGATTCAGTTATCCTATAATAACAAAGCGAATAATGTAGAAAGCACGTTCACAAAGTTTGATTTAACATTTCAATAAGCAGAAGTACATTCGTGTCGGAATATCTAAGCCGAAACAAGGCCAAATGACCGGTGGGATGCGTTGAGGTTAAATTCTAACCGTCCACCAGTCGACGAATTGTAAATATTCACGAATATATTTCAGTCGTCGAGCATGCTCGCCGAAAACGGCTAAACTGGTTGACAGAATTCTCGACGACAGATTTCTCAACAACCCGAGAACGGGGACGGGTCGCCGATTTCCAAAAAGAATTTACGATCGGAACAACAATGGATTCGTTCGAAAGTTCGCTTCCGTAATTGTACGAGTAACGCGCGTCGGTCGCAGCCGTTTCTGGCATCAAAAATCGCGATCGCTTTTGAACGGATCTTCGAGCAGCGTTTCGGAAGCCGTAGAAACGGGATCGAATTCTATCGGGCCGGCCGGGGGAAGCGGTTTAATTGCCGTGGCGTCGGAACATTCCGACGATTGGGAAATCGTGGCCGGAATTATGTAAGCGCCGCCGCACCACCGCTCGCAGATGAATAACTAAAGGGGGATCGAACGAGTCCCCCGGTTCGGGGCTTACCTTGCGACGCGTCTCCTCCGACGGTGGCGCCACCTGCGGACGGTGCACAAAAGACATGGGACAAGGCTCTCGAGAACATACCACACTTTTATATCGTTTTTCTGGATACAATTTGCGCCGAGAGTAACTCAACCAAATTATCGTGTATTCGACGATCGGCCGCCGCTCGGAACTACCGGCATCGTTTCGCTCGCATTCCCTCGTTTCCGACATCGGGGGCAATAAAGACGGGGCAAACCCGGAGGCGCTTGTAAATCCGGAGGATCGTAATCTGGAAAATTACAACGTTCGCGAACGTCCGCGGGTATCGGGGGCTCGCCCGTAAAAGGAAACAACGCGGAACAACACTTCGAGAAAACAATTTCGCACTTCGTGGATAATCGGACGCGATTTGCTGCTTCGAATAATACTTTGGACCGGCTTGTAACGCCGACTTTGTCGAATCGATTCACCTTCGAAAACGTGTCTCGCGACTGCAGCCGTGTTTCGACGCCCCCTGGGGGAGGACGATTGGAAAGCGAAGTCTCCCGATTGTTTCCGGGTTCTACCGAAGATTACTCTTCGCGCGGGAAAAGTTACCAAGTTGTCGAGCTCTATTCTTCCGGTAGTTCCGATTCGCGGAACGTAAACCGGCGACATTTAATCGGAACGGAAGCTGGGGAGGGGGGAGAAGGGCACCGAGAACGATCGAGCATTCCTGTCTCGATCGCGATGGAAGGAGAATTTGTTTCTTTCGACCGGTTCGGCGACGCGCTGCGCGCACCGACGCGCGAGAACCCGCGCGTTTTTGCCGACGGGCGGGAACACGCGGGTCGGCCGCGTTTCGCGAAAATACACAATACTGACATCCCGTCGTCGACGCCGCGCTAATCTACGATTTTCGAGCCGGATTTTTGGACGCGGAAGCGACACGCGGCCGCGCGAACGAAACGTTCTTTCGTCAGGTGTTCTCCGACGCTGCGAAGCCTTTAGAATTTGATCTCCGATTGCCAATTATCTGTGAATCCGATCTCGAAGAACTACCATCGTCGCACATCTGCCCGCGTCCGCGATCCCGTAATTTACGAATCTGTGCAGTTGCATGCATTTTCCACGCCGTCGTCCAGACTCTCCTTTGCGTTCGATGAGACGCTTCAGCGATGAGCAAGTACGCGAATCGCGGTAGCGGGCGCGTTAACTCTTTGGGGCACGGTGGGATTAAAAATGTCCCACCTTTTTGATGCACGGTAATGCGCGAGGCATTTTTAGACCCACCTAGAAATATTGCGACGGTTGCACGCGCTTTCGTGAACCCACGTGGCACGGTGGGACTATTCGAGTCCCAGCCTGTAACAACGAATCGAATTGAATTATTATTATTCTTTTATGTTTTCACATTATGCGATACCTTTGTTAATAAAAATATTCGAATTTCGTTTGATTCGAAGCGCGATAAAATTTCTGTGCAACGCGGGTCTATTTTATTTTCGGAAATCCTGTGCCCCAAAGAGTCGACGCGTCGTGTGCCGAATAAATCCGCGAAAATTCCCGCAAACATGCATCCGATCGACGAAACCGAAACTAGAAAGTGAAAGTATACCGTGGGACAGATCGATTTACCTCTTTTGTATCCCGAGAATCCTGGTATCGTTGAAATTGTTCAATGCATCGCACTTGGACCGCGGATCCAACGCGTTTACGGCAAAAACGAGTAGGTGAATTGTAAAATTGCGAGGACGTAAGAGGATTTTAACGATATCGTTGCGCCGTCCTCGAGTCAACAAAACTGTCGGAAGAAACAATCTATTCTCCTGTCGCGTTGGTTTCTGGCGAACGATGCAGGAAATTTTGATTCCGCGTGAAAATCCGCGGTCGAATTGCAACGAAAATGAATTTCGAAGCCCGATTGAGCAATCAGTGTCGCCGGCGCGGCACTCAACGCGTTAACGAGGCTACCGTTCACAATCGCGAAGAAGTCGTTGGATTATATATTTTGAAAGCTGCGGGACGTCCGCGCGGATGTCGATTCGATTGGAGGCGGATATTGGTGTTTGACGGAAGCTAGATGACCGGAAAGAGACCCGAAGAGACCAGAATAGACAGACGAAGGGGGAAGCTTGCTGCTGATCGCTGCTTGAAAGATCTATTTGCCGAAGCACGAGACCGCGTTGAACGCGCACTGCTTCCAGTAGCTGCGTTTGCGTTGTAAATCGGTCGCGTCCAGCTGGTTCCGAAGCCGTTTCTCGATCTCCTTCCTGAACAGGTAGCTGATCAGGGCCTTCTCCACGCTGTTGTCGTCGTCCACCAGCTGAAACAGACGCGATCGTCTCCGATCCGGTCGATCCGCCGATCTACAGGGTGTCCGAAAAATGTCTCTCAACGCAGAAAAAGGTTCCCGAGGTCATTCGAAGCATCTTTTTCCTCAGCGAAAATGCGATCCGCGGCTTCGTTTGCGAGTTATTAACGAAAAACAGTGACCAATGAGAGGCGAGAGATCAGCTGGCGCGAGACGGCCGAGCCAATCAGCGGGACTGGGCCTTCGCGCACTCGTTGGTGGGGCCGTCTCGCGCTAGCTGATCTCTCGCCTCTCATTGGTCATTGTTCTTCGTTAATAATTCGTAAACGAAGCCGCGGATTGCATTTTCGCCGAGGAGAAAGTTGCTACGAATGATCCGAGGAACCCAGAATTCCGGGCTGCGAGATATTTTTGGGAGACCCTGTACGCAGCAGTATCTAACGTTCCCTTGAACCGGCTCGATGCATCGACTGTCGAAAGTTTGATTAATTCTGCTGGTCAGTGTTTTCGATGTACAACAAATTGTCCCTAATTGACGCAGATTAGGGATTGTGCAGAAAAGTAGACAATTTGGGAAGAGGAGATGCGATCGTTCGGGCGTTGCAACTCGTTTTTATAATTAACAATTAGAATAATCTAGTTAGAACAATTAGAATAATTATATTCTACAATGATAATAAAATAATAATATTGGAATAATTAGAATATAATTAGAATTCTAATCAATAAAAATAATCGTATCTCCTCTTCTCAAATTGCCCATTTTCGTGAGCGATCTGAGCGTCGATTAGGGCGAATTTACCGTAATCGCAAAACGTCCAATGGCAACGATACGTTTCTTCTACGTCTAGCCGGTATCATCGTTTATTTATCTTCTTGTTCCAGGGTACAGATGACGTCCGCAGCACGTCATTCGAGCGGAAAAGAGGCTAAAACGACCGAGGACAGTCGACGCGTCGGCGCGGTCGTGCCGCGAAAGCGAAGCGCGCGAGCCGTCCGTGGAAAATTAATGGAAATTATCGAGCAGAGAGCATGCCGAACGATAAAGGAGCGCGTGCAGCGGGTTTTCCTGGGGCTAATGGATTTATTAGATCCGTGGAACGCCGCGTTTCGTTCCTCCACGTTACCAACGGACCACGCGGCGTATCGTTATTAATCCGCACGCGGTTGCACCACAACGAGCCGCCCATTCGCTCTAATTGAATAACGCGATCAAGAGAAGCTGTCCCGCGACGCAAGGATTCCTCTCGGCCCCGATCAAGAACACGCTAATCGCTGTAACGCGAACTGATTGCACGAGCTTTCCATTAAGCCGCGCGCCTCGACTGCGCCAATTCTACCGGATTCCGTGTCTCTGTTCTCGGTGGCCGGCGGCTCGCGAAGCGTTTCAGCGGTGAAAAATCGACCCCCGGATACTGTAATTTCTCCCGGAAATGCCAAATTTCGGGTTGCCGTGAATTTCGCTGACTAGTCCTACGCCTATGTGATTTATTGCTACGTCGATGCCGGGGGCCGACGGAAGACAATGCGAAATGGTCTGTTTTATGATACTTTGGATCGTACTTTTACTCCGATTAATAATTTCACCGATTTCGTTGTAAATTTTTCTATTTTTATAATAGTAAATTATCAGTTACGCTGATGCAGTTCGTCGCGTTTTCTTCATTTTTTGGAGAAGGAGTCGGGCAAGTCGAACGACAAAGAAAACGATAACCGAACTGTACTTTTATCGTTTCCAAGCATTGTTGAACGAAACGCGATCGGGAATTCGTCGGTTTTACGGCGTTGCCAGCGGTGTACGATGTTTAGCGACGGGCATGAATCGAATGCGACCGAATCGTGGCACGTGGCCTACGAATTGCCTTCGAATCGCGTCAAGTGGTCTCCTAATTGCCTTCGAATCACGTCAAGTTGCCTCCGAATTGCCTTTGAATCGCGTCAAGTAGCCTCCGAATCGCCTCCGAATCGTGGCGAAAAATCAGAAACAAAAATGTTAAGTCGTCGTTTTCATTCCAGCATTGCTATGTATTCATATTAACGTACAACCAACATGCTGGCCGCCGCTATTTTTCGCCGACCGCGCCGAGTTTCCATAAAAACGAGCCGCGCGTCCCGAAGAATCGCGACTCGGTATTCTCGGATCTGCCGATTTCGATTCCCACCTCCGGACATTTCTCAAACAAATTACTGTTTTATTATACCCGCGACGCGCGACCCAAAACGGCGGGAAAGGTCGCGCGACGGCTCGCGGAGCGGTGGTTCCGTCGCGGAACGGTCCCGTTTCGCGATCCCGAAACGGCGAAACGAGTTTGCCCGCGCTAACGAGCGTCGTTCATAGACGCGCGAAACGAATATCGTCCGGCTAACGGCCGATAACCGTCGAATAATTGAAACGAATCGCGTCGACGAGCCAACGAGCGAAAGCCCGCCATTTCCGCGTCGCGCCGCGCCGCGTCGGTTCGACAATTTTTCACGCGCGTTTTTCCGCGCCGACCGGAGCGTCCTCGATTTTTCCGGCGACGTTAGGAATCGGCGCTGTTAATAGTCGACGACCGGGGTGCAGATTTTATTCGCGCGCGGATTAAACGTGAAAAGGGACGGCGGCGACGGCCATGGCGTCGGTCCGCGGAGAATTCAATTTACTTCGCCCTTCCCCCCCGCCTTCTCTCGATCGGGACGATAAATTCATAAAACGAGACGCGCGCGCGAGGCTGCCTCTCGCCCACGGAAATTAGAATATTCGTTTATGGCGCGCGGCAAGGTTGCACGCCGCGCCGCCATTTTCGCTTCGAGAGGCCGCGGCCGGGACCGTTCGCGTCGATTACTTTGAATTAGACCGCGCGCTTTTTTTATATGCTTAGCACCCTCGACGGAAAATGCGGAACACGCTCGGGAAATATTCCGCGAACGTTCCCGATAGGATACGCGCGCGTTGCGATTATGGTTGCCGAGATAGAAGAATTCACGAGCACCGAAGATCCTCCGGCTCGCGGTCGTCGGAACGGGAAAAATGCTTTTGCGGCGAATTAACGGATACGTCTGTTCGGACGCACTTCGCGATAAAAATTGTGCAACGGCTCGATAAATGCGATCTCGTTATCCTCAATATATATTTTATTGTAGATACGTATTGTAATTGTAATATTTATTTTAATTTTAATTTTACGTATAACTTTACTTTAATTTTAATTTTATCTTATATTTATTTTAATTATTATATTTATTTTGTTTCAGATAATTTCTTCTTCTACTCTTGAACTTCTCTACTTCTTGTAGAAAATTACAAAATTGATCCGAAAATTAATCGGAAAATTAACCCGAATAAGATTTTATCGAATAAGTATTTGTTCGTACTGGTATTCCGATGGCAAATAATCGATTTGAATGAAAAAGAATACATTTTTTTATCGTATAAAATGTTTTCTTTTCATATACCTTATTATTTCCTATATATTTATTATTCTATATATTATTATCCCATATTTTATATTTATTATATATTTTATTATTATAATATATTTTATATATATTATTATTTATTATCCCATATTATCCCAGCAGTTGAAATTGAGCGGATCCTGAATGTACAAATATATTCTCGCAAAATTTTGCAAAACGCAAAGACAGTCGACGATCATTCGCATTATTGTTCAATCGATTTTATGATCTCTATTCGAGAAAACTCGTTCGAGTGAAAAATTACGCGAACAATTTATTCGAATATAAAAAAGACAGACTAATTTTTTCGAACGAATCGATAGAACCAGTTATTTATATCACGACAGATTTATAAGAGAGTTGAAAAGAGAGACGCTAGGCAGTCGCTCGAAGAGCCTGGTTTCTAGCCGCGCGCGTTAAAAACGGCGACATCCGGCGACTTTTCCATATTTGGCGATCTCGTTTCGTCGCGCGAGGATCAAGAATAGTCGCAAGGTTCCCTCCGGCGTTCCCTCGGGGACAAAGGTCGAAGTTGAGATCACCTGCGCGCAGGACTAAATATCGAAACGTACATATATTTCCTGCTTTGCGGGCGCGAGCGCGGCCTCGTCAACGGCCGCCGTCCGCTTAATAAATAATAAATCGGATTTGCATATTTGAGCGCGACTGCAGCCGTCGACTGTTGCCCCCTCCCCTTCCGCGGTCCGCTGGGCTTCTCGATTTATTTCGTATTTACTCGGGCGGGCCGAGAAAAAGCGGCACGCACCGATTTGAATATTAACGAGCCGAAGCCGGCCCCTGTAATCACGATTTTCCCGCTGGATGAAAAAAGCGCGGCGCACGTCCCGGGACACGATTAGAATGCAACGGAATATATAGGGAGTCCCAAAATTATGGTATCACCGGGAACCAAGGGGTTCCTGAGATCATTCGAAGCAACTTTTTCCTTAGCGAAAATGTTCTACGAGGCTTCGTTCGCGAGTTATCAACGAAAAAGCAGTGACCAATGAGAGGCGAGCTCGATTGGCGCGAGGCGGCCGAGCCAATCAGCGGGACTGGGCCCTCGCGCGCTCGTTGGCGGGTCCGCCTCGCGCTAGCCGAGCTCGTCTCTCATTGATCATTGTTCTTTCGCTAATAACTCGTGAACGAAGCCTCGTAGAACATTTTCGCAAAGGAAAAAGTTGCTACAAATGATCCCAGGAATCCCTCATTTCCCGGAGATACCATAATTTTGGGACACCCTGTATACATATTCCATCGGGATCTTCGCGTCGCTAGCTTTCCCGTCGCTTCCGGCGACAATGCTCGACCTTCGTTCCGTTTCAACGCCGGTTCACCTTTCGCGCTCTTCATCCAGGTTAAACGGCGAAGTTAACAAATTGCTCGCAGCTATGGTTTATTGAACATTTGCGGACAAAGGATTTTCCAGACAGCGCGGTAAAAATTCGTTCGTTTATTTGATTTTTCCGTACGTATCGCGCGGTAGAAATTCCATTTAGCGTTGTCGCCAAGTAATTGTTCTATCATCTCGTCAATTTTTTTCAATATTGAGATATCCATAGTAGAAGCGCAGA